TTGACAACGCCTTTCAAGTATACTCGCTTCTGGGTAAACCGTCTCTCAAGCAAGTGCTCTTCAGTTAATCAAACAATTCTTTACAGATGCAGTCCTTTGACAACGCCTTTCAAGTACACTCGCTTCTGGGTAAACCGTCTCTCAAGCAAGTGCTCTTCAGTTAATCAAACAATTCTTTACAGATGCAGTCCTTTGACAACGCCTTTCAAGTACACTCGCTTCTGGGTTAACCGTCTTTCAAGCAAGTGCTCTTCAGTTAACCAAACAATTCTTCTACTAAATAATATTTTAGCCGTTAACTAAAAATATTAGTTTCACGTATTGTGATTGGTATGTAGTATTTAATAAGTCAGATTGCATCTAATTTTTAAAAAAATACTGTTTTATTTTTCTCCATAAGTAAATTTTGCAAGATTTACTTTACTTTTGTGCTGAACCCTGATGTGACATTTGAACCTTACATACTACAAAAATTTTGATTTCGGTTCTCTATATTTATTCACATTCACTGCTTTTATATCACCTAAGGCCATTTGGGGTCTCCTGGCTACTAGAGGGCGTGGGGCCTCGGCAGTGCCTAAGAAGCCTACCCAAGATTTGTGGCCTTGTTCTCAAATACTCATCACAAATGTCTCTATTCAAAAACTCTCTGTAAATGTCTTAAAACACAAAAGATTCCTCTCATTTTAGTTAAGTTTTTAAAAAGCTGTAGAATTTTGGAAGATATAATAGCCAACTAGATCGTTCTACATTTTTAGTTCTAAGCCACGACGTCACGGTGTAAAGTGCGACATCAAACTAATTAACAAATACGACTCTTCTCACAAAATTTTACATTTTTCTGAAACTCGGCTAGCTGCAGCGAATGGAATTTCAAGAACCGAAGAGTGAACGCGAAGAGGAATGGAGAACTGATGGTTGTGTTATTTCACACCAAAACACATTGGTCTATCGACTGTGTCCAACGCGAGGAATTGAACTCTGGATTTTAGCACATAAGTTGATAGACTTACTACTGGCTCACAAGGGTTACAGAATGGATAAGCTATGTTATCGATATCCGCAAGTCATTGGCATTCCGTGAATAAACAACGACCTATAATATTGTAATAGAGTAATTTGTGCTCTTTGTCATTTCATAGCTATACTAACTAAAATCTGATCCATTGATCAAGGTGATACAGCTTCAGTTTAATAACTGACATGTATATAAGTTTCTGGAGTGATTATTAAGATTAAAAAACAAGCAAATATTTTCTAAAATTGTCAAATTTAATAATAGAAATAACGAGTAAGGAACGGCGTGGTTTGGTTAAAATGATAATTGGGACAAGAAAAAAACAACACAGTTTAAATAATTCAAAGATATTTTACCCATCCAGAAAACTAAATTAAGTAATATACTTAGAATTATCTCCTAAAAATATTGGGCAACTTAATTGTTTGAAATCACAGAAATAACTTGAAATGTTAAGATATTATCTTGCAAACACAACTCACTCAACGAATACGTTACTTTTGCGTGCTCTCAAGTAAGATAGGCCCGGCATGGCCAGGTGGATAAGGCGCTCGACTCACAATCTGAGGGTCGCGGGTTCGAATCCGCATCTCACCAAACATGCTCGCCCTTTCAGCCGTGGGGGCGTTATAATGTGACGGTCAATCCCACTATTCGTTGGTAAAAGAGTAGCCCAAGAGTTGGCGGTGGGTGGTGATGACTAGCTGCCTTCCCTCTAGTTTACACTGCTAAATTAGGGACGGCTAGTGCAGATAGCCCTCGTGTAGCTTTGCGCGAAATTCCAAAAAACAAAACAAAACAAACAAGTAAGATAAACAACAGAACGTATTGAAACATAACTTAGCGAAAGACGGAATTCAGGGCATCCTATCAGGTAAATTAAACAATAGAACGTATTGAAGCGTGAATTAGCCAATAGAGAAACAAAAAATGATTTTGCTCCTGCAGCACCACATTATCGTGAAAAAAATCTACTCCTTATATATTCAGTTTTTATATATTTTTAGTTGATACTCTATTATCATGAGCTCCTCTGCATCAAAAGTGGTTTCAAGAATATTATTTCAAATTTACAAAAAAAACAAAAACATTATCTTCCAAAATAGTTAGGTCAGATATTTCATAGTACAGTTCCTGGAATGATTAGGAAGGGTTTCTTTGTTATTTTTTAAAGCATAAAAACAATTTTCAATATGCTTGAAGCATTTCAAGAAGTTAAAAAAGATCGGAGAAGTTGGTAAAATATTTTTGAAAAGTAAGTAAGCAGTTTTTAGAAGAACTACTAAAACATTTCTACCGAAAAAAATCACTTTTTTATTTATTTTTAATTTTGCAATTATATTCCTACATATATATATATATTTGGTTATGATGATGTTTATTATTATTAAGCACAAAGCTACACAAAGGGCTATCTGTGCTATCTGTATCGAAACCCGGTTTCTAGCGGTATAAGTCCGTAGACATACCGCTGTGCCACTGGGGGGCTGGTTATGATGAAAATTATAAATTGAAAATATTACCAGGAAGCACTTAAAAAACTATAACAAACCTTCAGTAGACCTTAAACAAACAAGAAATGCATCGTCAAATTTTAATGTCACATGTTTCACTTTCTTTATTATTCATGACCAGGTGGTTAGGGTACTCGACTCGCAATCTGAGGGTCGCGGGTTCGAATCCCCGTCCCACCAAACATGCTCGCCCTTTCAGCCGTGCGGGCGTTATAATGTTACGGTCAATCCCACTATTAGTTGGTAAAAGAGTAGCCCAAGAGATGGCGGTGGGTGGTGATGACTAGCTGCCTTCCCTCTAGTCTTACACTGCTAAATTAGGGACGGCTAGCGCAGATAGCCCTCGTGTAGCTTTGCGCGAAATTCAAGAAACAAACAAAGAATCATTCATTATTATTCATCATATGATATCAACACGTAATTTGTTTCGTTAATTAGATATTCTTGTGTATTTCAATAGTCATAATAAGTACTAAAATGTAAGATATTGCTTAATAAATAAAAATGACACTACACGAGGAACTCTTCATAAATATAGAATTTCTACATAGGGGGTCTTCTAGTCCCACTGTAACTATTTGAACAAACGCTTCGAACAACTTCTTTCAATACTATTTGATGTTTATTCGTGTTAGTAAAGTACTTTTCGATTGACTGAACGGAAAATAAATGTGCTGCACATAACTTGAAGTGGTTATGTATTATTAGAAAAAGTTTCGACTTCAAGGACCGGAAAAAAAAATTGTTTTTGTGAGTTAAAGAAATATTAAATGTAATGGAAAATATTAATTTCAGTTGAGATAACAAAATTAAATATAAAACAATATTTGTTTATTGATACGAATAGAGCTACGCAATGGGCTATCTGTGTTAAGCCCACCATGGGTATCGAAACCTGATTTTTAGCTTGATAAGTGCTCAGACTTACCGTGGAGCCACCAGAGGACTCAGAACAGACAGAAAACAAGATCTGTAAAAGTGTAATGCTAAAATGTAGAATAAAAAAATATTGTAAAAGTTATGAATTTTTTCTAATAACATTAAGTTGGTGCAACCTTTGTAAAGTGTGTAACTGTGTCTTTTAGAATTTAGTACTGATTTTGGTTTTATCTTCAATACAACTTATAATTAATTTTCCGTAGATAGTATTTCCAGCTCCTAGACCAATTTCAAAACCTTGATTATAGTTCATAGTTAGAAATTTTAACGAAACTTATCTCAAACGTAAAACATACTTCACAACTAAATCTCTAAAAAAAAGTAAAAAAAAGTGTTTTAATATAAGTTCAGCATTTAAGCACTCATCCTTTTTAAGGTATGCAAATAATTAACTGGAATAAAAAATAATTGGTTGGTTATTATATCGGATAATGAGTTTCGGTGTTTGTTTCCTTTGTCGAAAATATTTTCTTGGGGTATTATACTTGGATATTTAGCGTGTTTGTTTTTCTCTTCGTGGAAATCTTTAAATGGCTATACAGAAATAATAAATTAAATAAAAACTGCTGTATAGATGGCAGGATTTATTGTTTGGAAATAAAATTGCTGGAGACCTGTAAGATACATACACTATATATTAATTCGATACCCTGATTTCGAGTTATAAGCCTTCCAGACTTACTGCTGAGCCACCGACGAGCTGGTGTGAGATATGCTTCGTGCTACAGTTGCTGAGATACTAAAGCTAAAAGTACTTTCGTGCGTAACCAAAGAGTTGGGGTGGAGTGTTTTGCAGCAGTGTACCATTTTTATTTTTTGCGGCATATCATACCGCCATTTTTTTCATACGACCTCACTTTTACCACTGGTAGATATACAAAAAAATAACACTTTCAAAATAAATCAGTGACGAAGAGCTATCATATCAAAGTTTATATAAAGAGTTCTTGTCAATATTAATAACAACGTAGAATATGTATAATGTAATCAGATTGTCCCCCACTCCTGTGGCTCAGGGACAAGTCAAACAAACTAACAATCAGATTCGGAAGTGTTACTTTTTTTTACAAGAAAAGTAGTAACCATTTTCATCAAATATGAATAGCTTAAGTATAAAGAGTCTATAACTATACTATATACCTATAACTATATCTATATCGGCAAAGTGGAGTAACTCTGCTTTGAGGAGTATTAATTAGTGTGGAGTATTTACACATTCTATAGCGGCAAAGTGGAGTAACTCTGCTTTGAAGAGTATTAATTAGTGTGAAGTATTTACACATTTTATAGCGGCAACGTGGAGTAACTCTGGTTTGAAAAGTATTAATTAGTGTGGAATGTTTTGTCAACATCTTATTGACAACTCTCAGTTTTGCAAAAGAAATACTGAACGCTTACTAAGTAACGATCTTTTTTATCGATCTTTCATCGTTCTTTTTCTAGAAGTGTATTTAGTAGAAGGTAAAACGACGGACGATGTGATATTCATTTAGAAGCACTTATTTCGACGTTTCACTAAGGAGCAATTGGTTTAAAAAGTAACAAATCATCGGGTAAGTTGCAAGTTTTTAACATTAACACAGTAATATCCCCTTAATAACCGAGTTATAGTGAGATTAACACAGTAATATCCACTTAATGAACGAGTTATAGTGAGATTAACACAGTAATATCCACTTAATGACCAGTTTATGGTGAGATTAACACAGTAATATCCACTTAATGATCAAGTTATGGCGAGATTAACACAGTAATCTTCCCTTAATGAACGAGTTATAGTGAGATTAACACAGTAATCTTCCCTTAATGAACGAGTTATAGTGAGATTAACAC